TTAAGAAGCATAACTGGGAAAAGAAATGAAGATGCTTAGATTCCTGAGCAATGCTTCCATTTGCTAAAATTTGTGCTTCCATTTCTGCTAAAACCATGCTGAAGATTTTGAAAACTAGGCCTCAGTATGGACACTGACAGTGTAGATTCCCAACAGTGCCTGGTTAGTGGTCATTGGCAAGGATAGGAGGCTTCTGAACACACCTGAAATGTGCCAATATCAGCCCTTGGACTTTTTGCAAAGATTGGCAACAAGAGAACAAAAGAAAAACCTGTGGACTTCATCTGAAGAGCCAAAACCCACTAAATGCTGTGTTATCCCTTAATCCAGTCTTCAGAGTCATCTGGGCAAGGACTGAATATTTTCACTTAATATACCTCAAGTGGTTAATCCCATTTTGCAGTCCTCTGTCACCAACACAGCTCCCAGTCCAGTTTAATAATTTCAGATGTTAGCACCTACCAGTGAAAATTCAGCCCAGGGACAGTACTGATGTGTTGCCACAGCAGCCATTATTTATGAACTTGCATGCTCTTGGCTGCCAAGGACCATTTTGAGAGCCTCTGGTCCCCTTCAGTTCACATAGTATGGGGACATATACAGCTGCCTTAGAAACTGATGAGCTAAATTGACACTGAGTGAAAAAAAGCGCCAAAAACAACTAAAACCCACTAACTTAAGAGAATTATCATTTGCAAAAGTGAGGATGAGTCCATTTCCATTGAGGTCTGCATCTACGGATGATGAAACCAGAAAGGATGAAAGCAGTGACGAGATTTTATTACGGTTTTTTTAAAATATTTATTTTAAAAGTAACTGAGAGCTAAGCAAGCCTGAGGAGACAGCTTTAATGCCCAAGCACAGGATATTACATACTCAGCCAGCTCATCTACATCAGATCTGCAATGCAGAATTGCACATGTATGAGACATCAAGGCAGTACTGCTAAGCACAACATTCCCCTTCAAACCAGAAAGGGCTTTGAGGTGCACTAACCAGAAGCCTTTCCTTCCATGCTTTTTTCCTTTACTGTTTCTTGAGAAATCCAACAAAAGGGAAGACATGGAGGAAAGCAAATCCTCTGTGAAAACTCAGGGCATGAGGCAAGACCATAGCCCTTTCGCCTCTAAAGGATTCTACAAGCTGGCCAGGAATGCCAAAATATAGGAAGTAGGGCTTCCTGGAGGGTGGGTGTTTTTCGTTTGGGGTAGAGTGAGGGTGTCCCCTCTACAGGCCAGAATGGACACATGATTTCCATCTAGGAAAGGGTTGGTCACACTTAGGGATGACTTAGCTTCCCAGATCACCTATTGATAAGGCTCCTTTTGCCTTTAGTAGCCCATAAATTGCTTTGGAATGCTCTAAGATTAAATATCATGGTCTAATTAATTCTAATTACTCAGTGTGGATTTCTGTACTACAGGACAGAAGCCAGCCCCCTGTCCTGTCAGAGGACTAAATTAAAAAAACCTAAAACCATAAGGAAAAAAACAACTTAACAAAAACCAAACAAAAACCAAAACAAACAAACAAAACCAAAAAAAACACCCAAAAACCCACCCAAAAACCCCAAACCAACAAAAAAACCCACCAACACCCCCTCCCAAAAAAAAAAAATCACCACAAAAACAAACTTACAAAAAATGTTCTCAAAAAGAAGCAGTTCTGCAGTCTATTAGCAGACAAGTCATGATACTCTACCTTTCTTTCATTTTCTGTGCCTCTACCCAGGACATTTGTATACCCTAGTGCTCGCTATCTTTAGTAACTGCTTGGGAACAAGTCTATCAAGTAGAATACATTATCCCATCATTAAAAGCTGTGACTTTATAAAAACAAGTTTCCTGAGACTGTATAAATTATGCCTTCGACTGGCATGTCAAACCTGTTGTGCTGATGATTTTGTATGTCAGTCTGTTAACTGTCTGATGTTAGGGTGAATCTTACCAGCACACCTGACCCCAGCCCCAGGGTCCAGGGAAAAGGTGGCTTTAAAAGGCAGAAGCAGATGTAGACTAAGTTCTATAAGCAGCTCTCTGAATAACAGGGTGCAGGTAGCCTACCTGTAGGCCTAACATACCACACCTATAGAACCCCAACTCTTAAATCTATTGCTTAAATACACATCATTATCTCACAGGAAAGGAAGACCTTCACGAGTTTGTAGTCCCTTTTCCGGTAGCTACTTAGAGTAACCACTGAACAAACCTATATGTGACCTGCCAGAAACTGCCAGCAAAGACTAAGCTCAGCAAGAGACTAGAAAGAGAGAGTGTAGGATGACCCTTCTCATCTTGTATTGCCAGAACCCAAATTCATACAGTCATGCTTCACAGCAGACATGGGTTTTTCTGAACTTGCCCAACCTATTTTGGATGCATTTATTTCTCCAAATTCCACAAAGAAAAAAGAAAAATCAAGTGACTACAGGCTCTACAATTTCACTATGGAAAGTGAAAGCCTTAAAAAACCACCAAACAACAAAACAAAAACTTTTGGGCATTGCTTCCAATTACATTTCAATAAATAGCAGTAGTCTTTCACTGTTCACATTTAGCATCTCATTTAGAGCATTCACTCATATCCTACCCCAGTCCCTTCTCTTCCAGAGCAAAGAGTCAAACCAGTTACTGCCCTCTTCACATAGTAGCGAGCCCATGCCTTTGACTATTCCTGTTGCCTATTCCCATATTTTTTCTAGCTTTTCTATAAACTTTTTAAGACAGAGTTATTACAACTGGCTGCAGCATTCAAGACGTCGGTTATACCACCGAGTTATACAGCAGCAGAACAGATGTTTGATTATCTATCTTTCTCTGCAATTCTTAATTTTAACTGCTGTGTGCTAACCAGTCTGTGAAATACCCACAATAACCCAAGATCTTTCTTAAATGGCAAGTTACAGCCTATTTGTGTTTATATCTGTTCAAGCTGGTTTGTTTTTATTTTTACCCAGAGGCACTCATAGTTTCACACTTATCAGTATCGACATGTAATATCATCATCTCTAAGAGATCTAGGTCAGCAGTATAGACAGACACTTGTTCTGTAGAAGCTTGATCAAGACCCAGTGCGTTCATCACACCAGCTAACAGAAAACAGTCAGAAACTGATGTCGTATTTTAGCCAGGCTGGACAGTGTACAACCTGCTCAGCTCACATTTTATTCATTCCACCTGACTTATGTCTTTTGTATGGATAGTGTGATTTAGGAAATACTTCTGTCACAGGAGTGCACTGCACAGAGTTTGTACCACTTCACCCTTCAGGTGTATGCAAGTAAAAAATGCAACTGAAAAATAAACACAAAAAAATAATTTATATACCTCCCAAACCCAAAATGCTCAACGAGGGTCAGTAGTTATATTTTTTTTCTGCTCCATTGCACTCAAGCATGCCTAAACCCTTAGATGAAAAAGTATGATAGATGTCATAGAAGTCTTGATTTAAATCAAGTACTACAACTATGAAGCTCCCCACCCCCTAGTAGTAGTAAGCTGAAAGCATACACACAGATGCTTAGAACAGGAGCCTATCACAGCTTTCAGATTCACTGAACATCCCTGCAAAACTGTTTTTTCTTGCATCCTTCTAGTTCTGTCACCAACGAGATGTTCTTTTCATCCCATGCGAGTCATTAAATAGCCATCTAACACCATCTGCTGGATTGGAAAGAAAAAAATTACACCAGCATCTCACTGCCAGTCAGAAAGGAAGAAAACAATGCCCCAGACATTAAGGAAGAAAAAAAATTATACCAGCACCTCACTGCCAGGCAGAAAGGAACAAAAAAATGCCCCAAACATTAAAGTGTCAGTGGCTCAGCTTTGACTTGGTCCACTCCCCTCATCTGCACCTTATTTCTGTTTTCTTTCCTCTTTCTAAGAGGCAAATCTAAACTGTTGGCACTAACAGGCAGTCACAAACACAAAAACTTCCCTGCTCTGGATGGAGCAAGTTTTACAGGAGGCTCTGCCGTGCAATTATGCTTCCAGATCACTGATCTGCAGAGCAGCTTTACCCCTTCCGGATTAAATACAAAGAAAATAACAGGAGAGAGAAAAACAAAATGAAACAAAGCAAACTATCCTGAAAACAAATAGAAGTCAGGATAGAATTCTGCAGAAGTGTAGAAATGAGCTGGCTTTCTGTTGAAAATCCAGGAGCTCAGAATGAGTCAGAAGCTGGGGATGCAGAGCCTGTGCAGCGAGAGGAAGCAGCCATTACACACTCAGACATTATCTCAGACATCAGCCCTTGGCTTTTAACATCCTGTACAAAGGCCAAAGTACCAGTTATCTCACCACCATGAAAACATACTTTTGAAGACTGGCAGGGATATTTTTAACATCCAATTAGGCAGCTGCCGGAAGCAAGATGATAGCTTTTAATTAGTTATTTATGGCAGGAGGCTGCACCGCCTTTCTTGTTCCTTCAGGTCAAATTTATTTCACACATCACCTGGTTCCTTACAACATGGGATGCAGTGGTTAATCTTTTTCTTTCACCAAGAGGAAACACAGGCCTGGCTGAAATTACATTATATAGATATAAAGCACCCTGTGGAGGTTGTGTTTCTACTTCCCATTCCTTTTCTTTCCCCTCTGTTTTCCTACTTCCATACTGAAATTAGGGATGCATCACACATTCGACAGTTTGACATCAGATTTTATGTAAGGTCCTGATTTATTCAGCCAGACACTGTGTGAAAGTAGAAGTTTTCTATTGACTCCTATTGCACACCTACTAAATCAGTGCAAGTACTACTCAGATTTTACCCTGTGTAGCTAACAACGCACCTGCTCCCTTATTCAAGGTTTTCCTCTGCTCCAGCTTTTTTGGAAGCACCACCAGTAATTTACCAAAACAAATCTCACAGCAGAAAGCAGGCTGGTTCAGATAATGCTGTAAAAGCTGCAAGGAGTCCTGAATCATAGGATCCCCTTAGGGGAAATAAGGTCATTCCTCATGCATCAGTGCTGCCCAAAATAGAAGCTTACCTTCTGTGAGAGAGGCAAATACGATCATAAGGTGAATTTGCTGAAGTATTTCCAGGAGAAAGTGGGTAGTTTTTGTGGCATTATACAAGACACCAGTAAGACTGCTTCTGAAACACTGCAGACAGCTCTGCTCACTAAGTTCAGGATGGATAAATTTCAACTGAGTCAGCAGAGAAAAGGGTTTTAGGGTGAACACAGCAACAGAAAATCAAAATATATCAAAAGTAGTGGGAACATGAAATAAAACTAAACCTTTGCTTAGTTGGCCAGCAAAATTCAGGCTGGGATTACAGCTACAAAATAGTCTGATCTAACAGCAGCTGCCCATCAGAAGGGCAGCAGTGCCACAGTCCCCCTTGCATTGAGCAAGGCAAATCACAAGCTTGCTCTGCTGTTGCATGAGAAGGTTGGACAAAGGAAGCAGCAGAAACACGCAGCTGAGGAAAAAGCAAACATCATCTCCTTCAGAAGAAGAAAGGTCAAATAAAACAATGTAAAACTGTCTTAAGAGGGCAATTTATGAAGTGTTGCCAAGCACAGCAGTTCCAAAACAAACTCAAACCCCAAAAGCAGCAAACCCACAACAACACAAAAACAACCTAAAACCACACCAGAAAAGTGAAAGAAGAAATCAATTTCAGCTAGAGGACAGCACAGTCCGAGAACTAACATTTACAAATTAACCATAAGAACATTTAGGTTGGAAATAAGCTTTCAAATGCCAGTCCTCTCTATGGGCTACTGGGTCCTAAGCATCAATTAATATTCCAAGAAATCTTGATTAGTTTATAAAATTAATTATATTTTCCTTCCAATAGCAGGGGAATAGAGCATGGTCCTGGAGCTCCCTGCCCATTCTACATTCCTAGGCTGATAGTCTCTTTATATCAACCCCTCTAGCAGAGAAACTACTGAACACATTTAAAGGCTGCCGAAACTAATTTTTTTGTTATAATCAATGTAAACTCCCCTCACCTCCCCCAAAACAACCAACCAATCAACCAACCACAAAATAAACAAACAAAGGCCAAACAAAACACCGCTTGAGGTGACTCAAGCCAAAGATTTTGATAAATCTGGACAAAACATTTTATTGCAAGCTGACAGAATAGATCAAAAGCAATGTGTCCCCTTTGGACACTTGACTTTTCAAGGCAAAATTGGTTCAATTGACCAACATATGTTACAGAAATTGATTTTTTTGCCTGGGTATTCACTTGTGCAGAAAGGAACTTCTATAGCAGGAGACAGCAAGGACCTGAGGACATTCAAACACATCAGATAGAGAACATGTCCAGTTTTCTGTGTGCCAGCTACTTTTTATGGGAAGGTTTACAAATACAGATTATCCACAGGCAGATGTGTAGACAGACACACACACACAGCTTGTCCTAGGGCTTAAAGTGATTAGTCTGAAGACCTTGGGGTTTCAAAGGAAAATGCTCAGCTGGTGGCACAGTGGAATTTCACAGTAGCTGAAAGCCTGCCCCAGAACAACTTGGTCTCCTGATCCACTACTAGAGTCAACACAGCTCTTCAGTCTGCCAGTTATCTCATATGGAGCAGGGCTTCACAATCACACTCACCCCTTGGTTAAACTGCCACACTTCTGCTCTGATAGTGCCTTTCTCCTCTGGACAAGAGATGTAGCCTACATCTTCTATATTTCATATTTCCCTCTGGAACAACTCAGGAATAGAAGAGAGTATAAGACATTTAGAGATACAGCATCTAAAGAACAAAGTCATAACTGTCATGCTTACAAAGAATATAGCATACAGTGTGCCCTGTGAGCTGTCTCTCTGACAGGGAAGGAGAAGGATGGATGGTTCTCCAGCAGTACTACTGACTTCTAGAACTCCTTCAGTGTTATGACCGAGATAATTTGTGTGAGTATAACACCTAGGCAAGGAAAACAGTTCAGAGTGAGTCACAGAGAGGAGGAGAGTGTAAGATCCTCCCAGTGGTTATTCTGGAGTTTCACTATGAAGCACCCTTCTGCCTCAGTCAGTGCTGGGCCAATGCCCTAGATGAGTACAGAAGGCACTGCAGAGTTTTGTTGGCAAAAGAGGCCTTTACAGATGTGCCCTTGCCTAGGAAGTGTTTTAGGAACCAGGCCATGGCATTTGGATTTGTTGTGTTCACTACAAACTTGGCTGAACTGTGCCACACAGCAGGGGGTTTATCCTGTGCCTTGTCAAACATCCATCCTTCTCAAAATGCCACCATGTTTTTGTATCAGTACATGCTAGGAAAAAGCAGACAGTTTTTCCACAGCAAGTGGAAAATCCTCACTGAACAATCCCAAAAGTACCTGACAATTTGTAAGCCTGAGAGCTCTTGATGATCGGAGAACTCAAGAAGCACCTCTGCCATATCTGCTCTGAGAGATGAAGCAGGCATACCTGTAGAGCTGGTGGCCATCCATACAGCATCCAGTGCAAGCACAGAGACAGGATTTCCTGGGGAGGGTGGGCTACAGCCTACTCAGGGCGGCCAATAAGGCAGGGCAAGACTGTGAATGGGAAAAGATCTCACCTGAAGAAATTACCTGGTGCTTGTTCTCTGCTGGCAACAGAGCCACAGATGTCTTTGTTGATGGGCACCCAGGGCTAGGTTAATAAGAAACACCTGGGCTGGTGCTCGGGGATTCAGGATGTTCGCTCTCTGGTTTTCTGCCTGCAAGGGAGCATGGGGACTTTCCCATAAAACTCCACAGTGGATGAGAACACCTGAGGCCATTTGTTAAGCCCCTCTGTTGGCCTCAGGTGAGGCGTGTGGGCTGGAACAGCCCATCTTGGAAAGAGACCCAGCAAAGCACAGGGGAGGTGACTTTTTGGGCTGCTGAGTGCACCCACCACACTGCACAGAGATGGGCAGACATCAGCCCTTCTTGTCATCTTAAAACCAGAGCTATCTGGGGAGCTGTGGGCTGCTTTCCGAGGGAAAAACTTCTGCACAGGTCCTTGGGTGTAGCCAGAGGTGCTTTTTGCCTCCCTGGGACACCCCTGCCCAAGTGCCAGGAAAATAAATGCCAAGGGAAAAGCCTGAGACAAAAGGCACCTTCCTCAGCCTGGAGGGAAAGGTAGCTGGGCGGTACAAGGAAAGGGTTGGAAAACTGAGGAGAAGCCCTGATTCAAGAGCAGCTGAAGCCCTGAAGAAGGGATTAAAGGGCAGCAGCTACCGAGGACAATGTCTCTCAGCACTGCTCCCAAGAGTAGGGACACTGAGGACCTGTTACAGGAGTAGAAACAGTGGCATCAGAGGCAACCAGGTTGTCTTAAATTTGGGGGTTTGGTGTTTTTTTTTTGGTTGGCTGGTTAGTTGGTTGGGGGTTTTCTTACTGTCTAGATCTTCTCCTTGTATTAACCACTTCCCCCCACTTCTTTTTGAATACAGTTAAATGGGGTGTCACACAAACCACTCCACCACCTCTCGTTTAGTAACTGGGTACAGCACTAAAGCCCTACAGAAATTGAAAACAAATGGCTGCTTCCTTCTAATCACATGGAGATTTGTATGGAGCTGTGTCCTCAAGCCCTTGCCCTTTAGCTGTCCAGGTGAGAGGCCTGAGTAGGTACAACCCATGCACCCAGCATTGCTTCTGTCAGGTCAAAAACCTACTGTGTAGAATCTGTCATCTAGTTAAGAAATATGAAATATTAAGAAATGTCATTAATGCCAGGTAGTATATCTACTCTGGAGACCTGAAAAGAGCTCTTCTAGTCTCTTTAAGCATTTTTTCCCACAAAGTCAAGAAGTGACTTTGTCTTGACAAAGTCAAGAAGTGACTTTGTCAAAATATATAAAAGCTGGGGAGGGGGGCTGTTTGCTCTCTTCTCTTGCTGCATTTCAGTAACTGCTTACAGCAACTACTGAAATATTCATTCAGAAATTATTATTGCATGCTTTTCAATGGCAGGCAGAAATCTGCTGGGAAACAAGTGCACTATAGGTGCAAAACCAGATCCACAATAATGGCTTATACAGAGGGAAGCAGTTTATATACAGTTTAAGGGAATCTGCCTCCCATAGAAGAAGAGCGCAGCCGGCAGCCCAGTCTGTTACCGTGCTTTAGGAAAGTCCACTGTGCTGGGAAAGGAGATCTGCACAGTTAAAACTGCAGTTTGTCCTTGTGAACAAGTAGCAAAAGCTTTCTCCAGTGCTTCCACTGCTTAAAAGTACCTGTCTAAGCCAGATACCAATTCTCCAATTCTTTATCAAAGTGGCAAAAGCATAGAATAGAATCACATAAGATCCCAATTTGGAAGGGACCCAATAAGGATGGAGTCCAACTCCCTGCTCCTCCCAGGACTCCCCAACACTAAACCCAAGATCAGCATACTCCCTGCTGTCCTCAGGCCCAAGGGCTTTGGGCTACAGATGCAGTTTGTATTGAGACAGAGCCAAGAGTAGTGAGCAAGCCAAGGGTATTTTTATCCCTCCATGTCATTTCTCAGGCTTGGTTTAAATCAGATTGTCTGCAATGATTAAAACTCAGCCTGTTTCTGAAATCTCAGAAGTTCTCACCCCCTGTGACATGGATCGTGGTTTCTCTTACCGTGGTAAGAAAGCAAACTTACTTTCCTTGTTCACTTTGATACTTTTTTATCCTTTCAATCCTATGGTACTATCAGGAAAGCTAATTAGATTTTCTCCTATATTGTTTATTTGTGAAATAAAAATGCTGTTTGTGTAACACCTTATAATCACCATTGTACTACTGTAATGCAACATGTGGGATAACTCAGAAATTATCCGACTTAACCATGAAGGGAGCATTGCAAGTCCTAGAACATAGAGAAGTCACCACTTGCTGTTTTTTAGCATCTATAATCATCTTATTCAGACTTTGTGTATGGTGTGTCTGTGGGGAGCTAAACAGCCAGAAGAGGGTAGCATAAGTTAGTTAATAAACCTCATTTGTAAAGAAGAGGTATTTTTGAGAGAAACATCTGCTTGCATTTCTGGCTGCAAGGTAGTGAAATATAACTTTGAGAAACTCATCATCAAGCATTTGTCAGAACATGGGAAGGAAGATTTATAGTCATAACTGAAAAGGATTAGACTGATAGTAGAACACAGAGCTTTTTGCACTCTATTAGCTC